TGCTCACTTTTTAATGAACGAATATTATAAAGTATACCACATCCACAGATAACAGTAACCAACATTAATGCCTTTGAGCGATATAAAAGAAGAGCTTATTAAGCGACATTTTTGGTAACGCTGTTCTTTAAAATATATGTCTTTGCTGCAGGCGAAAGTAAAGTGGAAAAGTCTTATCTTTATTAAGATTAAAGCCCTTCCACCTCTTCTTTGGTCCTTGGGGAGGGTACTTAGGCTTTATCAATGGAGCGATGGCGTCGTTAAGAGTGTTGAGCTTTAAACGAAATATGGGACAATTCGTAAAGCCTTTAATAATATATGCCCCCCTTCCAGACTTTGAAGACTTCAACCTTCAACGGGGAGAGCATGTTGCACTCCGATATACACAACAATAGCCACCACCGGAGCCGAAGGCACAGCCCCACCAACAAGAGCCAGAGCGAGCGACCAGTACGTGACGGGGCGCTCACTTGCGTCTTAAGCCCACCCGACACCTTAATTTGAACAATTTTTGTTTTTCTTCTTTTTTTGTATTGTATTTGCATTTATTTGGTTTTTAATAAGTTTCCTTCTTCCTGGAAAGATGGATAAATCATTTCTTCTTTTCTTATCAAAAGTACTCCAGTGCCTGGTATACCAGGAATTTGAGTACATTCCTTTTATCATTTACATACATCATAGTACGATTATTGCTTTAATCAAAGTCACAGATGAGATCAGGCAGAGCATGGATGATCAAAAGGCCACTGCGTTGACACTGCTGGATTTCAGTAATGCTGTCAATACGGTGGACTTTAACATATTATTTGCCATTATATCTTATTTTAACATATCCCCTGCGGTGGTTGACTGGTTTCATTCTTGCATGTGTGATCGCCGGCAGCGAACACGGATTAATAACTTGTACTCCATTTGGTCTACAATTAATGCTGGTGTTCCACAAGGTGGCATGTTGTCCCCTCTCCGGTCCTCAAATTTTTCTCACTACAACTTATATGCTGACGATTTACAAATTTATGCCACATCAAATGTAGATGATTTATCTCAAATCATTGAACAGACAAATAAGGACCTCTCGTTGATATCGACACGGTGCAAATCATGTGGATCAAACCTGAATGTTACAAAATCGCAGGCAATTACAATCGGAAGTTAAAGTCTATTTATTATTGACGACACGTTTGGCTCAGTTTGTAGAGACAATACTTGCTGTGCCAGCGGTCACGGATTTGAGTCCCGCTAGAGGCATTCATTTGTGTGATGAGCACGATTTTTTGTACTCCAATCATGGGTCTTTATATTTATAATATGTATGTATTTAAAATTATATGTGTAGTGTATCAACTATCTGGTAACCATAACACAAGCCTCGGAGCTTACCATGAAACCAGATGATGCTGTGTGTTAATGTCCCAACATATTTATTTATTATTATACAAAACGAAAGTTTCGCGATTACTGCTAGTAGTGGTTAATGGTATTCAAATTCGTTTTGATGAAAACGTGAAATATCTTGGAATAATAATACACCAATATTTTGCATGGGGACCCCAGGTAAGTGCGGTGAGCTGAAAGTTTTTGGAGCGACTGCTTCTCCTCTCAGATTGCGGAATGGCTGTCATGTTCTCTTCGCTCTAGTTTGCTTCTTTTTTTTTCTTTATTGGCTTATAGTTGCGTTAACAGATGCATAGTTTCCTTCTTAAGATCCCTTTCCGCTCTTTCTTTTTCTATACGAACTCTTTTACCATTAAAGCTGTTTGACTTTGGATTTCTCTTCCTTTAAACATAAAACGAGTTAAAGCATGGATAGATTTAAGGTTTTATTTAAAAAAAATACTATTTATCTCTTTAGCTACCTCCCTTCATCCTTCTCCTTACCCCTATCACTATTATTTTCTTTTTTTGAATTGTTTATTTACTAGCGACTGACCCTCTTTTCGCTTCGGGTTCGTCCCTGGACAACAAAAACTATCCCACGGGAACCGTACATTTTTGCGGGATAAAAAATAACCTATATTCCATATTCCAGACCATATTCCAGACTATAATCCATCTCTTTGCCAAAATCCAGATCCTTTCATCCGTTCTGGCATGAAAGAGTAACAAACATCCATACATCCATTCATATATTATAATATATTGGCATGGATTTTCGTTATACTTTTTCTCTATAATAATATAATGATCTCTTTTGATGAGTTCTTCTATATGTACATATATACAATGTATATATGTTGTTAATATAAATTTTTGTTTACACGTATATGTATAGATTTGTTATTTATAATTTATTTATGTGTACCTCAAGGTTGCCTGGAAGAGATCGCTTTTTAGCGATAAGGCTGCCTTCTGTATATCTTCTCTTTATATGTATATGTTTTGTTTATACCTCTTTTCTGCGTGTACTATAAAATGTAATTATTGTTATTTTTATATCTTTGAATTTCACGGCCTCGAAGGAGCCCTGTCCCTTGTGACGCATCAGCCGGGATCCATCTCTGAGTAATACATAGGGAATTACATAAAGATGGCCTCCGGATAAAGCGTAGGGTCTATGGAAAATATGAAAAACTAAAAGGGTTTATTATTATTTGTAAACATGCATTTAAGACGACGGTTGCTAACCAGCGATAAGCTATTGTGTACAGTTCACATTTATATTTACATAATGTTTTCCTCAAAATTTCAATAATGATTACGGTCGAGTTTCAATCGCTTTTTTTTTTTATGTTGGGAAATGCATTTACGCACGACGTGTGGGACTCACCGGCGTAATACAGCCAGTACTACCCACTAAAACCCAACAAAACCTTCCCCCGTCTTAATGGGGCGTCGCAGGATCGCTTACGCATTCAACTACGACGCCCCGACGGCAGGTCTGCCGAAGCAGACCACCACAACCATGGGGTTGCTCCACAGTCCACTCTGCTATCAGAGAAGTACCAGGAGCAACCCGCATGGTACACCGCCCCCCAAAGAGGGCCACCTCCCACCGCCCACCGAAGTGGACAACCTCCCTGTGCGTTTCTTAGCTTCGCGCCCGGTTGGATTGCCGGGCACTACTGAGCCCCCCCACCACGACAAGGTGAACGCACGTTGGGGGGGAGAGTTTCAATCGCTAGGCGAACTCTAGTTATTTTTTTTTTTAAATACGAACAGACGGATGTACTCGAGTGCAGTAGGGTAAGCCACTAGTATATACATACAAGGTACATATTATGTAGACATCGATATATAAATACATAGATACACATTTTCTTTCCTAACAAATATCTCTTCAAAAAGTGGCATCGACATGTGATGTTAAGTCAAACCAAAGAAAAACATTCAAATATCGAAAGTTCTAATTACTACAGTAAAAATAGACGTGTTTTTTGGTCAACTTTGCACTGAATGTCCGATTCATTTTTTTTATTTTATAAGGTTTAGGATCACTTACTGAGTATAAAATCACAAAATGCTAACAGTTTCCAGTGGAGCTTCAGGCGCCATCTTGAAAAAAGTTTTTTTGATTAAACTAATAGTTTAAGAGTTATTGGCCGAGATAGAAGAACCGGTTCATAAAATGGGTCATAAATCGTAAACGTTAAGTTTTACAAAAAAAAAATCAGGAAACAAAAGATGCGAAATTTTATTCTCTACAAAAACTTTTGCCCTAAAGTGCATAGTTTCCGAGATATTGGCCAAAAAATTTTTTTCAAGATGGCGCCTGAAGCTCCACCGGAATCTGTCAGCATTTTGTGATTTTATACTCAGTAACTAGTAAGTGATCCTAAACCTTATAAAATAAAAAAATTAGATCGGAAATTTAGTGCAAAGTTAAATTCTATTTTTACTGTAGTAATTGTCAACACAAATTCGAACTTATGCACACAACGTAAACCACCACATAAAGTACTTTTTTAATACAACAATAATTTTGTCATTCGAAAAGCAATGAACAAAAGAGATATAAGAGAAACGCATAGTTTCGAATTATGTGCAGGACATATGTAGAACAGTTTTGAGAAGCTAATTGTGGATCATAAGTTTTTGTATATCAATGTATATAGATTTATTTAATTTATTGCCTGTTTCTAACATTTTACAAGTATTTAGTATATAAAGATAATCTCAGGCTGTATTTCTGTTTTGAAATCGTGTGAACGATACACGCGTTGGTCACCTTCACCCAAATTGTCCATAGTAACTCAACTTCTTGTGTAGTTTACCAAATTTGACCTGTACACTCTAAGTCAGATAATGGCCTAACCTTAAAATGTTTTTGATTGATAGTTAACATAATTATATGTTAGGGTGAAGCGAAAAAAAAAAATTTTTTAGCTTGGGCGTAGAATTTGTAGCTTATAAAAAACGAAATTAAAAAAAATATGATTTTTCTCAACATTTTGGGGTGGTCCACTGAATGCATAATTGCAATTTTAACATGTCACTTTTTTTGTATTACAGTGAAAGTTGAGTAGAAAATGACTAAATTCGTCACTTCTTGAATATTTTCAAAGATGATCACGCGAAAAAAAATTCATTTCAATCAATTATTTATTTTAAATCAGTGGGCCATCTCAAAATGTTGAGTAAAAAAAAATTTTTTTTCTAAATTTTGTATTTTTTATAAGTTACGAATTCTATCCCCAAGCTAAGAAATTTTTTTTTTTTCGTTGAACCCTACTATATGTACTAGTGATGGCCTAATGGTTGAAATTCGATCAAAATCAGTATTGAAAATTTGAAGAAAACTTATGAATATAATTTACCTATCTATGTAAAAAAGTAACTTTTTCCATATATCTTTTTTGATAACACTAAAGATCGTCGATAACCACTAAACAAAAAAAATCGGTTAACAAACAGAGGAGAAAAAGGTACTGAACTGGTTTTGTCTTTGCCTATTTATATATACTCGATAGATTTATGTAAAGCTAGCTTGTATTATTTACTTAACATATTACAATTGGTCCGTTTTGGTTTTTAAAACTAAAATTATTTTTTCCTCCCTATAGGAGCTGATACTTCGCCCCGGCTCGATGACATTCGAGTGGTGGGCGCGACCTCCGGTCCGTCCGTTCGTCCGTGTGTACGTCTATAACGTGACCAATGCCGACGAGTTCCTGAACAACGGCTCCAAACCAATATTAGACGAACTTGGGCCGTATGTTTACTCGTAAGTATAATAATAAGAATTGTATTAAAACTACATTTACTAAATTATGTTTTAAGGCTTAGTATAGATTTCTCAGAGATATATTCCAACAGTAAAAAGTATCCTATAAGTTGAACCGGATAACCAAGTATCATCATAACAAATTTCATCAAAGTCTGTTCAGTAGTTTTCTCGTGATGCGTTCCTAGACAGACAGAAATGCTAAAAATTATAGATTCGGTCTCTATATCGATAATAATGTCTATTTCAATAAAATTTTCCAAAAAATATTATTTAATATTATTACAGATTCGAATCAGAATTTTATTATATGTATAGATAGAAGATATATAATATGAACATAAACTTTAATGCGCACCTTTTATTTTGGAATAGTCATTTTTTGTGAATTAAATATTAGAATGGTAAAGTGTGGAAGCTACCACCAATCTCAGAAGGCTTTGTATCTGTGTGTCTGTCTGTGGCGTCGTTTCGCCCAAATGGATGAACCGATTTCAATTTAGTTTTTTTTTCGTTTGAAAGGTGATTTGATCGAGAGTGTAGAACATTCGCACACGTATTTTGTTAACCCCCGACGCAAAAAAGGAGTCTTATAAGTTTAACGTTTATCTGTGTGTCTGTTTGTGGCATTGTAACACTCAAACGGATGAATCGATTTTAATTTAGTTTTTTTGTTTGAAAGGCGACTTAATCGAGAGTGGTCTTAGTTACAATAAGAAGATACGTTCAGCCATTTGCAGGCTATCAGCTCTTTTCTAGACGATAAAAGGATATGAGCAACTTCCACAGATCTAATACACTCGAAACTTGGTATCCCGTTACTTCAATGACATTGGCATCGATATGGTAACCTTGACCTGATGCTGCAGCGTCACCTGGAATCTTCAAAATACTAAACTCCTTACTAAAATACTGCAGAGATATATTTAGGTTTATTGAAATTTCTTCAATGAATAGGTAATTGTGTGGACCGGTCTTAATTTTTTTATTCATAGTAAAATAACATAACATCCATTTGGCTCAGTTTATAGTGACCCTACTTGATATGCCAGCGGTCGCGGGTTTGAGTCCCGCCGGCGGCATTCAATTGTATAATGCTCCAGTCATGGGTGTTTATATTTATATGTTTGTATTTATATGTTTGTATTTAAAGTTTATATATGTGTAGTGTATCAACTATCTGGTATCCATAACACAAGCCTCGTAGCTTACCATGGAACTAGATGGTGCTGTGTGTTATGTGATATACCCCAATATATTTATATTTATTTATTTAATTTCTATATATTTATAAAGAACATCTCAATATAGGCTCTTCCAATCTTTCTAAGTGATTGACATGATATTTACCGCGATACAGATAGCTTATAATACAGAGAAAGTCGAAAGATACTTCTATCCCGGTGATAGTTAAGTTTTTCCCGTGGGATTAGAATCTGAGGGAATATAAGTAGTTCGTTGCAAAAAAGTAACTAAGGGTTTTTTAAATTATACAATATAGATAATAATGATGAATAAACACAATCTATCTTACAAACGTGGCCGACCTTGCAAGATTCACTGAAGTACGTGACGTGTGAATGGCGAGTTGTCTCTCAAGGAAATGGTTATGTGTCACGATTAGATTTTTAATCTATACTAATATTATAAGGAGACAGAGTTTATTTGTTTGAACGCGCTAATCTCAGGAACTACTAATCCGATTTGAAAAATTCATTTTGCATTAGATAGCCCGTTTATTGAGAAAGGTTATAGACTATATATCATCATCCTACTGCCCAAGGGAGCGGAGCAGTAATCATAAATGTCAACAAATCGGGCAGACCTCCATACATTATTGTAAAACTGGTGTTTATATCAGAAGTTAGAACGCAGGCAAAGCCGCGGGTACTGCTAGTATATTATACAAGCGATAAACCATCGCTTTACTCGGGTCGGTCCATCACGCTACCAAGTGCGGGTTGGCGGACTTCACATGTCTTTCGAAAACTTGCTAGGTTCTCTCAGACACGCAGGTTTTCTCACGATGTTTTCCTTCATGCGTATGAAAATATTACAATTCCGAGACCAAGGGCTTGAACCCTTCACTTAACTTTCCAAGCAAGTGAGCTACCACTGCGCTACCACTACCTTTGAGTACAGAATCCATACAAATCGAAAACAAACGTCATTACCTTCGTGAAAATCGAACCCATTACCTTCACCATAAAATATATAGAACATCAAAAGGACGGTCATCAAGAAAATATCTTCTAGATATCCAATTATATTTTCAAACCCACTTCCATGAAACAATGGAAAAATTTTATTCACCTACCTATACATATAATAAAATTCGGAGTCGAATCTTTCCATTAAATATTTTTTGGAAAATCTTATTGTAATAGTTATTATCAATACAGAGGTCAAATTTATAGTTTTTAGAATTTTTGTATGTCTGTCTGTCTGTCTGGGAACGCATCACGAAAAAACCACTGGACAGATTTTGATGAAATTTGGTATGATGATAGCTGATTATCCGGGTGAACATATAGAATACTTTTTAGTGCGGGAAAATGTCTCATCTCTGAGAAATTTATACTAAACGTTAAAACGGACCTAGGGACGAAATTATTTATTTATTATAAATCGCTAGTTTTATAAGAAATTCTACGTAATTGAGTCTTAACACTGGTCTTTTACACTATTGTGTTACATAAAATTACATTAATTTCTTTAAGATCTAGACCATTTATATATATATATATATATATATAAATTTATTAATTTTAAACTAAAAAATATTTACCGACTTCATAATCACCTAAAAGTTTTTTTCCACTATAAAATTACAACCTGGTGTAATGCAAAGGCTACTTGTTTAGGCAAAAACAAAGTTAAAATAACAACATTTTACTAAATGCGTATGATATTAGACGATAACATGGCTATCGCCGGCTAAACCTTAACAGATACATCAGAACAATGTACTAGAAAATTGTAGGTCTTAATAAGACCTACAGAAAAGTATATGTCTATCTCCTAAGGAACACTCGCAATAAATATTTTTATCTATTACTAGCAGTACCCGCGGCTTCGCCCGCGTCTAAACTTCCGATCGCTATCATAATTCACAGGAACACTCGCTGGGCTAATATGAAGAATACATGAAAATTTCATCAAAATCGCTCCAGCTGTTTTGGAGTCCGTATGGCCCATACATAGACACATCGGTTTTTGTTTTATTTAATCAACAATTTAAATTTATTTATTGCTCGGAAAATGGAGTCTTTTATGAACATTTAGTGACACATCGGCTGCAGCGCCACCTACTGGGTCCATCTGTGTTTTCAAACCATCAAACACACAAAATTTTATCCAAATCGGTTCAGTCTTTTAGGACTAGGTTAACAAACACACGTACAGAAGAATTATATAAATATTAAGATAAGCGTACATAGCACAAGCGATGGAATGGACTAGTTATTTATCCGCAGAAAAAATGATGATTTTATCAGACATAATTTATGCTTGTTCCGTGACTTACCAGTAGGGAATATGTGTAACATGCTTTATGACCTTTTTTTTATGGTGCTGATGTTAGGGTTCCATAGCCAAATGGCTAAAACGTAATAATAATAATTTCTTCATGTCCCTCTGTCAGTCTGTCACACTCATTTTTAACCCCCGACGCAAAAAGAGGGGTGTTATACGTTTGACGTCGAAGTCTGTCTGTGTGTGTGTGTATCAGTTTGTGGCATCGTAGCTCTCAAACGGATGGACCGATTTCGATGCGGTTTTTTTCATTTGAAAGCCAGTTTCCTTGCGGTGGTTCTTAGCTATGTTTGGTTAATATCGGTCCAGCAGTGTAAGAGTATCAGCTCTTTTCCAAATGATTACTCGTTTAAGTGCTTCACACGTGCCAGTGTAATCGTTGAATGACAATTAATTTGCGTGGGAGGTTTATTTAATTTTTAATTTATAATTATACTTAAAAACTGGATATATATGTTGTGATGTACTTATTTATTATTTTGTTTTTGTCGTTACACATTAATATGTTAAAACAAACCATAAATTTAATGTGTCATGCTTCAGAAATTGCCCGATTTTTTTGTATTGTTTTTTATATATCACAACACGTTTGGCTCAGTTCGCAGTGACCCTACTTGCTGCTTGCAGCAGTCTCGTGTTCGAATCCTGCTTGTTGTTTATATTTATAATAATTAAGTATATGTATTTAAAGCTATATATGTGTAGTGTATAAACTAACTGGTATCCATAACACAGGCCTCGTAGCTTACCATGGATCTAGATGGTGCTGTCTTAATATATTTATTTCCCAATATATTTATTTCTTGTAAGCATTGTTCGTCGTAAATAATATTTTATTCTAATAGAAGGTGCATACCTATTTACTCAACAAGTGTAATAATCTAAACGAGCTTAGCTATTAAAATTGAATTAAAGCACAATTGTAGACTTAATTAAGATAAAAACGTGGCCTTGATAAGTCTGAAGTATTCACAATAACAAAATCTGAGTAACGAGGATTCTATTTCTACATACATATTCCATACTGTGATATTATAAATGCAAAAGTAACTTTGTCTGTCTGTATGTCTGTTACCTTTTCACGCTTAATCCGCTGAACCGATTTAGATGAAATTTGGTATGGAGATAGTTTGAGACTCTGGGAAGGATATAGAATAGTTTTTATCCCGGAAATCATCTCTTAAGGGGGTGAAAATGGGGTGGAAGTTTGTATGGGGAATCAAACATTTCTCAAGTAAGGTTTATGAACCTCATCATGCCTATGTATATTATAAAAATCAATTTATGTTCATTAGACCTTAGATTTCCCATATACACTTGGTTGTGGAGTATTAACGCGAGTTACTGAAGTGCGTGATCTGGGTATAATTCTAGATAGCAAATTGTTGTTCAAATACCACATATATCAAATGACTTCCAAAGCGTTTAAAATGCTGGGTTTCATACTTAGAGTGAGTAACGACTTTAGGAATATTTCTACAATGCTTTTACTGTACAATACCTTGGTTCGTTCGATTCTGGAATATGGATCAATAATATGGAACCCCAACCGTAAAACTTACATTGAGGAAATCGAGAGTCCAGTTTAAATTTATTAAACATTTGAACTTTAGGTGCCTCTCTCTACATCAAAGCTGTCCTGCTGTGTCTTCTCTTGCAAGCCGTCGTTTATTTAAAGACCAAATGTTTTTATATAAAATAATTAATAATTTTGTTGACTCCCCGTATCTTTTAAGTAATATACAATTCAGATGTCCCAGCTTCAACACTGGTCGAAGAGTTTTGTTTTGCATGTCTGTCTGTCACCAGAACGAAATACGAATCAAAATGAATTTATACATAGGTCCTGTCGTGATTGCAATGTTCACTTTAACGGCATTGATTCAATGAATTGTACTGTAGAAAATTTCAAAAGGAAAATTAGGAATGTACTTCTCCTAAAAGATTTATAATATAACCTAACTCCATATCTTATATTAATGCACACATAATTCTAGTGTTGTTGTTTTGTCAAATCTCTACTCTTTTACTGTATAAATTGTTTGTTTGTGGAAACTTTATTGGTGTATGTACTAGTTTTATTGTTATATGTTGTTTGTGTTGTAACACTGTATGTTTCCGTAATAATAAATTAAAAAAAAAATAGTCTCGCTAAAACTCAAAAACGGCTGGATCAATTTTAATAGTTTTGGTTTGTTGGGGGTGTGTAAGAGGTGGTATAAGTAGAAAAATATGGAAAAAACCAATAAGAACAGCTGGAAAATCGAAAAATTCAGAACTATTTATTTTGTATGGAAATCACTACTTCGAATTACTTTCAGTAGATGGCGTTAGTGGCGGACTCATCATCTACAACAATGTGTCTCAGTTTAAGTTTATTCTATACACGTCCTGCCACAAATCTCGTTTGGGCAGAAAATTAAAAACAAACGGATTTTGACAACAACGCCATTTATCGAGTCAAACTATAGCTCAGAATCATACGGTTGACCCCATAAGTACACAAAATACCATCGAAATCAGTCAAGCCGTTTAGAAGGAGACGACAATGAAAACACACCAATATAAATAAATATAAAATTAAAAAGCAAAACTTTATCTAAATACAAAATTTGATCCAAATAGAACCGTTTCTGAGATACACGTAACAAAATAAAAATACAAGAATTGCTAATTTAATATTATAAGATATAAATATATGTAGATGCTATAATCATATTATTATTATGAAATTTTGGTCGTGTGTAATGTGCACGTCCGTAAAGTTTTCTGACACAGTTTCGTCAACGTGCGATATTTATCGGGCGATTCGTGTCGTGCTTCTTGAAGCCTTTCTGTTTAAACCGTCTTCGTCTCGTCTTAAAACACTTTTCCTTTAACACACGGCCAGAAACAACAAAGATATTTTAGTATATATACATAGTTATGGTGAGTTTTATATCCCATAATTGAGAAATGATTGATTCCCCATACAAAAGTTCATCCCCCTTTTCACCCCCATATGTGATGAATTTCGGAAAATGCAAAAAAACGTAATTATTTAATTGTAATGAAGAGCATTAATACCTAGTTTGAAGTAATTCTTATCATAAATATATATATTTTTGTTGTTGTAAAAAGTTTTAGCCGGATCTTGGTATTCCCCTTTGGAATGCGTATGTTATGGAAATAACGAATGCATATCCTTTAATCACAATATAAAAACGTATTTATGTCCTTTTTCGTATGTACTAATAATATAGTTGGTTATGTGCTCCACTAAATATTCAATGCTATAACGCGATATAGCGTTCTATAGCTTACTTCTATCAACAGTTAGGACTCTTAAGGGGCGTAGCATTATATTAGGATAGCCTAGAACACGCCTTTACTCATATCGCCTGTTGATTATGTGGGACTTACCGGCTGGAGAAGCCAGTACTACCATCTTAAATCCAACAGAACCTCCCCCGTCTTAATGGGGCGTCGCAGGATCGCTTACGCGCTCTACCACGACACCCCAACGGCAGGTCTGCCGAAGCAGACCACACAACCAAGGGGTTGCTCCCACGGTTCACTCTGCTGTCAGAGAAGTACCAGGAGCAACCCGCATATTGGTACACCGTCCACCGAAATGGAACATCTCCCTGTGTATCTCTTGGCTTCGCACTGAGTTGGTTGCCGGACGCTTATGAGCCCCGCCACCATAACAAGGTGAATACACATCGGGGGGTAGCCTATAACCCTCCTCAATAAACCGTAAAAGTTTATATGTCTGTATGTTTGTTTCTCCTACACTCTGTAACGGCTGGACGGATTTGGATGAAGCTTAGTACACGGATAGATCATGTCCTGGAGTAACATATTTTTAATAGGCACTTAAGCGAAGCAAGAGTAAACCTCTAGTATCTATATTATATAGATACACATGTCTAGTGGACGATTGCATTTAAACGTACATTACAGACGTATCCTGTCTTTATCACGGCATATTGCGTGTTCTAACTAATCTTAACTTACTATGTAAAAGGACAAACTTCTAGTTTCTCTTCGACGCGACCTTGACATGATAGTACAGCAGTCTGGTAAACGTTATAGCCGTAAAAATCTAATGTAACACAAAAATATGCGCTTGCGCAATTTTTTCTTTTTTGTTTGAAAGGTTGTTTTAGTTTAATAGTCTATCCACTTTCTCTTGCGACATGCTCAAGAGTAAATATGTATAGTTTTATACTTACTAATTGCTTATAAAATGATAGTAATATAATTTCAAAGACATTTAAATTAATATTTCGATTTTAAATAAAGATCAAACTAAATTAAGATCCATATTATTATTATTTTTTAATTTTGATCTTACAGTTGCAGTTCTTTAACCCACGACGCAAAAAGGACGGGGTGTTATAAGTTTGACGTGTCTGTGTGTGTGTGTGTGTGTGTTTCTGTCTGTAGCATCATATCTCGAACGGATGAACAGATTTTGATTTTGTTTTTTTTTTGTTTGAAAGGTGAATTAGTCGGGAGTGTTCTTAGCTATGTTTGATGAAAATCTGTCCAAGATGGTGGTTTTTATTTTTTTTATTTTAAGTTATTAATTTGTATAACTATGGCAACCCCAATCAGAATTAAGTATTTATTAAAATTTTTATTATTGCACATAGATATTGTAAGGCATTCACTACTATTCCAAATTATTGTGAAATTGTTGTGGGTAGACAGTAGGCACCGTGTGTAATTACTGTTAGTTTTGAGAGGTCAAAAATCTTAGTTTGCACCGTGACCAGTGAGCATATTTGTTGTGAAAGATTCGAAATTCATATTCATATGAGAATCATTTTAAATATTATTAACACTCTTGTATTACGGTGAAGGAAAACGTCGTGAGGAAACCTGCATGTCTGAAAGAATCTAGAAAGTTTTCGGAAGATATGCGTAGTCCGCCCGCACTCGGCCAGCGTGGTGGACTATGGCTTGATCTCCCTCGTACTGAAGGGAGGCTCAAGTTCATATCATAACGCAAACATGCTAAGAAATAATGGAGCTGGTCTGTTGATGATTCCAGAGGGTGAATTGTGTAACTAATAAACAGCTGTTAATAATTAGATTTTGGCGCAATTTGATTTAAAATTTACAATTTTAAAACTATAATTTTTTTTTTATATATGTATAATATAGGTATAGTATTTATATATGTAGTTTTAGTATTTAGATATTGTTTAATAATATTATACTTGTGTTTATTTTGTATATATATTATATATTTGTATTATACGTATATGTATAAATATATAATGTTTCTATTGTCTCTTTATTTGTTATTCGCGCCCCTTCTATCTTAGTACTATTTCCTACACCTAAAGGTTGCTGGAAGAAATCGCTCTTTTAGCGATAAGGCCGCCTCTTGTACTTTCTTCTATATTATATTGATATTTTCTTTTTCTCTTTTTGGGTGTACAATAAAGAGTAATTCATTCATTATTTCTTTATATATTTTAATAATATCATTTTTGTTACAGCGAAGAGTGGGAGAAAGTTAACATAACAGATAACGAAAACGGAACCCTCTCCTTCCACTACAAAAGGACGTACACATTCATGCCAGAACTCAGCTCTGGTCCTGACGACGACTCAGTGGTCGTCCCCAACATTCCCATGCTGGTAAGTAAATTTTTATGTTAGTAAAACATATTTAGAATGTATGTAGGATTTTAGAAAGTAACAAGATATGTCAAAATAGTAATGTGTTCAAAATTTATTTTAAAACTAGCGACTCACTCTCGCTTCGCTCGTGTTCGTCCCTACTTACGTTTTGACGCTTAGTATAGATATCTCAGATATTAGATATTACCCCGCAGTAAAAGTATTCCTATATGTTGACCCGGATTACCAGCTATCATCATACCAAATTTCATCAAAATCCCTCCAGTGGTTTTTCCGTGATGCCGTAACAGACAGACAGACAGATAGAAATGCTAAAAACTATAGATTCGGCCACTGTATCGATAATAATGTCTATTTCAATAAGATTTTCCAAAAAATATTTAATGTACAGATTCGGCTTAGTTACAATTTTATTATATGTATCTATAGACTATGTATGTATATAAAAAAATAATCTTTTAAGAATACCGTCCATTAAAAGAAGTAAGGGCTTTCAAGTATTAAGTCATACAGCACATTAGGTCCTCTGCGCGACGGCGGGTAATGAAATGAAATAAACGTTATTCAATTAAAAGTCTTTCTTATTACATGTCCTTTTGAATACTTTAAACAACAGCATTCCCAAAGAGGGTAGTGTCAGGCAGGGAGTCGGTCATTAAACTTTTGCCAAAACCAATCAGCAGTAGGAAAAACGGACTGTGCCGACCCCAAGTATTTTGGGAAATGGGCAGGAGGATGATAATGACGTGGGACTTTAGAATGGGTATTATAATTGAATACGTATACAAAATTTCGACGTATCATTGTCATCAGAACTGAAACAACATGTAAAATATCAACTCTGTAGGATAAGAGGAAATGTTTCTAATTCAGCTAGCAAGATCTCACCCATACAGACATACCGACTAACAAACATTGCAAGTTGAATAAAAGCCTATAAATACTGAGCAGTAAAATGTTTTGTCTTTGCCTATTTTTATAAATCTATATAGATGTATATAAAACAAAGTTAGTTACACCATTCATAACTCAAGAACGGCTGGACCGATTTTTATGATGTTTGATTTGTTGTATTTGTCTCCGTCCCGAATAGCAGAATAACTATTAAAACATCGAAAATATTTTAAAATTACATAACTAACGCTGGCTAATAACTATTTATATCTATTTAAAATGTACGAACACACCCGAGCGAAGCGAGTGTAAGTCGCTTGTAGATAATATTACATGACTACAATGCTAACAAACAAAAATAAACACAAAAACAAAAATAGCAAAAATACAAAAACAGTGATTTTATAAAGTCCATTTTATTTAATTATATTTTTGTTTATTATATTTCCTTATTTGTACATATTATTACCTACCTACCATTAGTTTTAATTAACTGTATATTATACTTAGATATTTTTATAATAATTATCATAAACGCACCTGTTACATGCAATTTTATACTTAAGTACTAATTTCCTTGTAAATACATAGATTGTGTCTTGCAATATCTAGAAGTCTAGAAGTTTTTAACCGACTTTATAATAACAGGTTTTGTGTTTGGCTCAATATTTTTTTTTATTGTTTACATAGTAGCTATTGACGAACTTTAGTTTTATTATATCAATAAAAAGAGGTTTGTAATTCATATAATGGCAGTGGTAGCCCAGTGGTAACGCGCTCGCTTGGGAAACCGAGTGAAGCTGGTTCTAATCCCGGGTCTCTCATCTCTGATATTTTCATACAGTGAAGGTAGAAAAAGTGAGGAAAGCTGCATCTCTGAGAGAACCTAGTAAATTTTCGAAAGACGAGAAGTCCGCCAACCCGCACTTGGCCAGCGTGGTGGACTATGGCCTGATTCCCCTCTGGGGGAGGTCCGTGCCCAGCAGTGGGACGTTAAACAAAGGGCTTAATACAATTCATATAAGTTTTTCTTAAATGTTCAATAATCATTTATAGTCGAATTTAGTGCAAAATATGCAGTGTGATTTTGAAACCCATTGTTCACTAACTTTGTAATCGTTTTTATATGTTTTTTTTTCTCCATATGTTTCTGTTTCGCAAACGCCATTCATTACATGTATTTCCGTAGTCAGAAGGCAATAAAACTTAAATCCTTATAATCAAATTGCGAAAAATAAATTAAATATAATTATAAAAATAAAAAACCCGACTGCATAAAAGCTAACTAAAAAGATGAAAACAAGTTGGCGGAGGAATATAATATTATGCAGTCGGAGACACACGTTTTATCCTTGTCGCGAAATGTACATAAATGTATACTCAATCTCTCGGAAAAAAACCAAAAACATAGTTTTATTTAAAACTGGCGGCTTATACTCGCTTCGCTCGAGTTCACCTATAGGAAAACAAAAAAAAACTATTCCACGGGAATCGTACATTTCACCCAGATCCGTTCAACCGTTCTTGCGTGAAAGAGTAACAAACATCCATACATACTCACAAACTTTCACATTTATAATATTAATACGATACGGATATCAAAGTCTTAATAAAGTAGGACAGAGAACAGTCACCATACTATTCAGCACTCACGCTGTCGAGGGAGCAACGCTCCAAGCACAGATGCGGTGGGAATATAAAATACGATATTAACATATGAAAAACCTGCATTTTCGATCGAATCGACCTTAAATAATCATTAGCCACAAATCAAGGTTTAATCGGTATAATGTTACCTATTATATTTATTTTCTATTTATTTGTAATGCCATGGGGTAATGCCATGAATCTAATGAATTAAAAGTTTCGTTCAAAATGAAGTTCAAGAATTTAGTTTAAACTGTTCTCCACACTTAAATGTAAATAATCATTTATTTCCCGTAGTGTTCGAAAGCTAAGCTATTATTCCCATACACTGATACGAGATTTTAAGTCTCAAAACGAAAGTGGTGTCATCGCGTAGTGAAAGTTCGGTTACGACCCACATAGATTCGACCAACAAAATCAAAAAGTCTAGAATTTTTTTTTTATTATTTCAAACTAACCTAGTGGCACATCTACGAGTAAGTGTATTTTTTATGAAATAATTGTAATAATATCTTATTTAATTAAATACATTAATGCCCGATTTCACCAACCTCACCTTAGTTTAAGGGATCCCCTAAGCATGGTTAGGGGGCTGTTAGGGGACAGTTTCTGTTTCACCGACAGTCAGGGGTCACCTAAATATTAAAATGCCCTCTAAATATAGGTGCTCGAAATATGGGCTTAAAGACTATGGTAAAACGAAATTTAATTTAGGGACTAGTTTAGGGGAATTTTAAGCTAGGGATCCCATACATAGGTGGTAGCTTATGGGTTGTGGGTGAAATCGTTCATAAATATCTCGTACATAAAAAATCACTCTTAAGAATTTCGCAGACAGACGGATAAAAATTTCTCAAGCAATAATAATGCTCTCCTGACCAATCTCACGGAATGAAATGAAATAAAATTTAACGTTATTTAATTAGACTTATACAAGCACTTTAGAATCGTCAATTTGGTGTAGTCAGTCCGTGAGGAAGCTACCACCGACTCGGAAAGCAGTTCTGCTAGTTCTGCTGAGAAGAGCCGGCGTGAAACTCAGCTGTTGCTCTTTTAAATATCTAAGTCACATTTTATTTATTTATTTATTTATTCAGGTAAAAACAGTCGTATACAAAAAATTTAAAACATTAAGAATACAATTAGACCTTTTTACCCTAAATTATTACAAATGAACTGATTTGTCATCAAAAGTGACGGATGCTATATAAGCATGCTTACAAAAATAATAAGTGAAACTAATTGAATAAAAATATTAAATAAAACTAATTTAATTTACTTATTAACACAACGGAAACTAGCCATCTGCGAAGGAGATATTATAGTGCAGCGTGTGAGGGAGAGCGCACACAACATGCATTCTCTGTCCCTTTCACTCTCAATCTCCGGCAGACCACAATTCGGCACTCGCGGTGAGAGATCAGGTGTAGGACTCTCACAACACCGTCAGTTTCCCAACTATGGGCTCTTATTGACAATTTCTTGGCAGAAAATCCCTATATATGTACCTACTTGGCCTAACCCGCGACTCCAACCCACTACCAGGACCCAGGATCTGCATCATAAACTATTACACAGTTAAAGAGCAGTCATAAAATAAACAACGACTTTGTTTTTAAATTAATTTATTTGAAACTCTCGTATCTAATATATTATACTGAACGTTAGTCACTAACGTATTTTTTATTCACGTATCATTACGCGTTATCGGAAAACCCTTTTTAATGACATCGTCAGTGGCGAAGAAAGCGTGTAATATATATGTATGTAACATACAAAAGTATTTAGTGCGCGACATTACACTCCAATAAATATTGTATTGATTATACATGAGTATACAACTAAAGAGGAGTGGTAGCCCAGTGGTAAAGAGCTCGTTTGGAAAACCTAGTGAAACGGGTTCGAATTCCGGGACTTGCTCCTCTGATATTGTCATGTGGGAATCATTTTTAACATGGTAATCACCACTTGTCTTGCGGTGAAGGAAAACATCGTAAGGAAACCTGCATGTCTGAGAGAATCTAGCACGTCTTAGAAAGACGTGTGAACTCCACCCCTGCATTGACCATCGTGGTGGACTATAGCCTGATCCTGTCATTGAAGGAAGACCTATGCCCAGCAGTTAGACGTTTAAGCCAAGAGAAGTTAGTTGACAGATATGATTTCCTCCCAACCGTTTTCGGTCAAGGGGGCCAATCTAATTGAGACTAGCCGATGCACACGAGATATTATAGTACACAAGTACACTCTCTATTCCTTTTCACTCTCAAAGTCCGATGAAACGATACTTCGATAGGACTGGTGAGAGTTACGGCGCAGGACCGACGACTTTACGTGCTCTCCGTGGCACGGGAGTGGACCCGGTAGTTCCCACGTTCAGGAAGTTACTGAGAGTTTCTAAACGGAAAGACTTAATAGCTAAAGTTAGTCCGACTCGGGACTCGAACGCAGGACTG